TATATATATATATGTATATATATATATATTAATGCAGTATCTCTAAATCGGTGTTGAAAGCGTAAAGAATTTGATACCCTGTTAACTTGTAGACCATATTGACAGAGCAATTAAAAAGTGAAACTGTCGAAAATAGTCTAAAATATTCATTAAAATCGTTTTTGGCAAGGTCTTGGTCATTATACTGATCTATCTGCCAGTCTTGTCTGCCAGTTAGCCAACAGCACAATTCATGATTTAAGAATTGTCTATGGTTTTTTAGCCTTTTTGCTGAATGATAGACAGATCAAGGTCTATAGATCAAGGTCTAGATCAAGATCAAGTCTCAGATCAAGGTCTATCAAGGTCTATCAAAGTCTAGACGCTGCCGATAGGAATTGAGGACCGCTTTGGTAATATCCAAAATGTGGTTGATAGACCATTACAGATGTTGTTGTAACCTCCTCTTTAGCCACTCTTACCATTTCAAATGTCACAATCATTTTTTGACACTTTTTCTCCGAATTTGGTACCATTGGCTATATTCAGTTTTAAAAGAGAAATTTGTCTATAAATTGTGAATGATTCGATTAAAACAGTTTTATTCAAAAAAGAATAGCCGTACAATTTACGGAAAATTTAGATAGAAGTTACATAACACGAAAGTCAACAGTTCGATGATGGACAAATTTTTGTACACTCTTCTAATCAGCATACGACGTTCGTGATATATAACTTTTCACTATTACCATTACGATTAGCTGTTAATGCGATTATACAAACATTGCAAAAACAGATATAAAGCTAAGCAAAATTTTTAAAAAATCAGCATCATATAAAATTAGTTTTACCGAAACGAACAAAGGTGAAATAAACATCACAAAGCAGAATAAATTTTAAAAGAAAATTTGTTTGAAGAATGCAAAGTCTCAACAACTAAACTGTTTAGTTAACTTTGTAGATAGAGATGAAAACTTAAGCAACAAACAACTGTCAACATCAACACTTATGATATAAGCATATTTGGAACAGCTGTACTGTCAAGCAGACTGCCTTATGCACTTCATCTTAATTCCTTATTTGATAATGTGAACAATTTTGCAAGGTTTTTTCTTAACTTGTACAAATGCTAGGAAATTATCGGCTTGACTGTCAAAATTGGCAAATAAATCGAGTTAAAACAATCAAAAGAAAGTCAAATAATCGTCATCACTTATATACAAACAGACCTAAAACTTGTTATAAGTTTTAATTGCATCAAATTCTCATAACAATTCCGGAACTTTACTCATACATCAACAGAAAATTTTTGCGAAATAAATGATGACAACATCTCTTTCATTATAATTTTTTCACCTCGTCAACCCAATTTACAGCACAACTAACCAAATAAGGTTTCTTCCTTTGTTCTTTATTACCCAACTTATGGTGCTTGTTCCGAGTTTGCTGAGAAGTCGATTGTATTTTAGTAAAAGACAGAGTTAACTGACTTAAAATCACAGATGACGACGTTGATAATAATAGGAAAAAGAGTAAAAATTGAAAGTTAAAAACAAAATGACCTGAAAAAATTTTAATGGATATATACAAAAATTATAACAAAAAAGTTTTTCATTCGAAAACTTATTTAGAACTTATTCATGACTGTAACTGTCAAACTCATTTCATAACTGTGAACAAAACTTTTACAAAAGTTAAGACCTTCTTGAGTGTTTTTAGAACTATAAATTTGCTTCTGATACCTCAAGTTTTATATGTGAAAGAAATTCTATAAAAAACTAAATAACAGACAAATCAACATAATTTAAAGGCTGATACCAAACATTTCGTGTGTCAAGAAAAAGCACTAGGCGAGAATAAACTGATACCCCAAATTGCTCTTGATTGAATACTTGGAGAGAGAACCAAAGGGCTGAATATAGGACCACTAAGAAGTGTTGGATTCAGTATATTCGGACTCAATACTGGAGGGCTGAACACTATTGGAGTCAAAACCACTGGACTCAGAATGTTTGGAGACAAAACATAAGGTGAAAAAACATTGGGACTAATCGCCTGCGGTGATAATATGAATGGACTCAACAAGTATGGCGAGAATACCCGAGGACTTCCAGCCTATAAAAAAAGTTAACAAAAAAGGTTTTTCTTTGTATTCTATAAACTTTTGTTTCATCGTTCTTTTACCTAAAAAGAAAAAAAGGATTTATAAGTCATAAATTGATTGCAGTTTATGCAAAAATTTGTTTCTCAAATTTCCAATTTAAAAACCGTACCTGTGGGGCCAAGATTAGTGGAGTTAACAAAAGTGGAGCGAAAATATTTGGTGAAAAAATATTTGGCGACAGGGTCACTGGATTGAGAATGACAAGCTATAAAAAAAATTCGCAGTAAAATTCACCAACTTAGCTTTTGCCAATTAGCATATGTTACGCTAAATCAAAAAATAAATAAATAAATAAATAAAAAATAAAAGAAAATAAAGAAAACAAAGTGAAATAGAACAAAAATTAAAATGAGAAAAAGTGACCCGAAACAGCGGAGGGGAAAACATAAATGGTGCTAATGTAATCTGTCGTTTTTTTCTTGTCGTCTTTTCTGCTTCTGGTTTATTCCATTCCGCCATAGTCCTTATCGTATTAAACAAGGCTTTTTTTTTCTCCACAAAAGTCCACTTATCATACTCATCAACATCAAACGGTAGACTGGATATGTTGTAAGGACCTAAATAGCTTAGTTCAGAAGAAAAAAAAAACTACGTTAAATCAATAGCTGTATCAATTGTTCATACTGATTGGTGATACATGTTAATAACTGACCTTCTTCGCCAAAAACTGTAATCATTTGCTTTTTGCTTAAAAAAGTATACTTCCTCTGGTCAATATCGGCTTTTTGTTTTAATGTGAAACTGTTGCTCAACTTTCTGTTTAGTTCACTCATTCGCTTTGCTAGTTGTAAACGTTCAGCATCACTGGCTTTCGTATAGTTATTCATCCGTTTAAGGGTGTCAGTTATGACTTTTTCTGCCCCTAAAATCACATTTTTACAATATCAAAACATTTACACTTTTTTGTAATAAACAAGCACAATAACATATACTCATTTGCGATAAAAAAAAGAATGATCAGCAGAAAATCTATATAGCAGAAAAGGAAATAAATTGTAGCGTCAATTATAAATAGACAAAAAGTTTTTTTTTTATACGTCACTAGCTAGTCGGTGCTAATAATGCTAAAGCTTAGACGGCTGTAGACAAGAGAACCAAAATGAAGTAGTCAATGAAGGTCCGCTCAGTACTGAGTCAGCTCAAAAAATGAATTTGTATAAAAACTAAAGAAAAAACCTTTTACGTACCAGAAACTTGCATAATTAATTCTAAAACTGCACTTCTTTCATTTTCTGGCACTCCAAAAAGTTTAAGTAATTGTGGTAAAGTCAGGTTAGTTTGCTGTTGGTCATCCTCGTACAGGGGTAGAATGTTTGGCGACAAAAATCTTCTAAACATTAAAAGGCTGATGTAGGAATAGGCTATCCTGCACACAGCAAATATCAAAAAACATTTCAAATAGGCAAACTATGTTTAGCTAAATAAAAATTACCAGATAATTGGGTTTGCATTACGTTCTCAAACTGTTTGCATATGTTTTAAAGCTTAACTTATTAATAGTTGCCTAGTTTGACTGAAAACTTATACAAAGCTATAGAATTAATAGAACTACCTTGTATTCGAATCATCAGGGATAACTGGGGCGAATCTGGGCGAAAAAAGTTTAAGGTCAGGTTGTCCACCATTGTGTTTGCCAAGTCGGTCCAATATATTGTACAAGTCCTTCAGAAGGGGCGGCGTATCTGTACAAATAAATATAAGTCATTTACACAAAGCTATTCTTTCAGAAGTTGAAAGACTTTTTATACTCAGTTAAGTAAAGCATATTTCCAGGCGAACAATAAATGCTCATCAAATTCCGTAATTTGTATCATAGATTACACTCTTTGTTTGATTCTTTTTTCCTTCTTCTTTCTTTTTGGCTGTTATTGTTGCTCAAGTCATCAAAGAACATATATTAAGCTATTAAAGAGCCAACATAAAAGCTAGGCATTTACCAGGCCAAGAAAAAGTTAAGCAAAGCATATCTCCAGTTGAACAATTAATGCAATTCTTTTTTATTACTTGAAAGACTAAAAAACGCTAAAATCATTTTAATTTAAATGAATCAGGAAGGTAACAGTAAAAATAGCCTAATTATAGCGTATTAAACTTCGTCTATCCTATGTAGAAGGCGTTGTTATTGACAGAGTGACCAGCAGTTATTTTTAAAATGAATCTTTAAAACAATTCTGGGCTTTTAATACGGCTATTTTGTACAGGAATATACCACACATGTAGTCTGTATAGGCTCATTGTAGAGAGGAAATTTTAAGACGAGATGCATTAGCAATTAAGAGGCTTTTCGTTGCAATTTTTTCGCTTTAATTACCTTCAATTTGACGAACTTTTTCACAAAACTAAGGTTAACGTTATTTACTGGCTTTACGATAAACTAATGCATTTTAAACCGGAAGAGTTTCAACCAATTGCCATTTTCTCATTAAAAAGTGCTACCTAACGTTTCTTTTTTGTTCGAAAAATCTTAGTAGTTTTTTAAAGTCAGTATCAGCAATATTTGGAGACATTTAACCATTATCAAACAGAGGAAGCAGTTTTAGAACAAACTACATTGCTAACTGCTTATTCTACAATTTCCTCTTCCTTGCTGCTTGTTGGATGGCGTTAAACGAGGCAGATGACTCACAGATGCTTGGAAGTACAGGAATAAAACGTGAAGAAATACTCCGTAATTTGGAACTTTTAAAACATTATTTTGGGACTTTTTCCTCGTCTACTTTTTCGTCGTGGATGACCGAATATGCTTGCATAAATAAAACTGAGCTTTTTCTTTTCGTATTTTAATAAGTAATCGTGAAGCAGCTAGAACTCTGTCTGCAAAAATTTGACCATAGTTGTTGCAGTAGGTAGAACTATCTATTTCTGGCCAATTAGATTGAACTCTTCACTTATCTGCAAAAATATAATGCCAATAAATAAAAGAGAAAAAAAATTTAGTCAAAGTTAAAAGGAATAAAACTGCGAAAGTTTTCGTTTAAGATCAAAACTTTTCAGAATAAAATTTAATCACGTTGTGTCCTTTATACAAATAAATTTGCATTTGTAAACCAGAAGTGTACTTTACTTTATGTTATTACTGTTCTCCTGTAGGCAGTTGGAGTATGAAAGTCAAACAACAACCCGTCATTCGCGGTTCTGTAATTTTGATACTTTTTCTGGCTCAGTATTCGAAGCTGTTGTCATTATATATGTATCAGAGTTGGAAAAATTGTCGTTGACATTTTGAGTCAACTTCAAAAGTTTGATTTCGGATAATTTCCTTACTCTATTTATTCTTTATGCTCCATCCTTTATTTACAAATCCCGGTAGCTTGAATCTTTTCCTGACCAACTTAGTGGTTTCACTTCAAATAATAAGAAATGTTTTAGTATTTCGCGGTCGCAGACGCCAAAACGCACCAGAGTCTGCTCGTTTGTAAGCTGAGGTTTTGATGACCCCAAGTTTGATTTTCGGTCAAAGCGGAGAGCTTTTTGAGCTGCTAATCACTTGTTTTCAATTTATATAACCTATGCTTGACAAAATAACTTATGATGGCTTCTTATGATGGGAGTTGTCTATTAGTTCATTTTCTTAGCAGCTTTATCGGCGGAACTTTAGCTGAACTGTACTCCTTGAGAACCGCACTTCTTCCTTTCTATTTTACGGAACTTCTTTCCGTTCAGGTTACGTAATAATATTTGGCTTTTTGTGGCGCTCCTTACTACTTCGTCAGTCAAAACTATGATTTTTAGAAAGAGATGTTGGTTGAAAGTAGCTTCTTTTAGTTCGGATAGGATTCAAGTCGAGCGCGATTTAGTGCCACGTACTGTTCTTACGTTACTGGTAAACTTATGCCAGGATATTTCGTAACTTTTAGCTATATTATATAAGGAAGTCACTTTTAATTTGCTAAAATTACTTTTCCAGAAAATTAATAAGAAAAAACTATTGCTGTTTATATATTTTCAGCCTTTCTAAGATTCTAAGAAGACTTTTAGCTGCAAGCAAACTCAAAGTTGCCTTTGTCAAAGCTTTAAGTTAAAAATGAAGAATATTTAAAGTTATGCAAAAACCGTTGAAGCAGTCTTATCTTACAACATAAATTTAAAAAGCAAGCTTTGTTAGAATCCGGTAGAATGGTTTGAAAACGTCCATAGGACTTTTTAGTAGTAACAGCTGCTTATCATTGCCCGCAAAAATAACGCTAACCCTTTGATAAAAACTGCTGAATTTCTTCACTGAGTTTGGACTCTTCTTTTCGGTGACCGATAATTGCATCGTATAAACGATAATGCCTTTTTGTTGCTGCTTTGTAACCGTCCAACATTTTTTTAATCTTAAATATCATAACATTATCACAGAAAATATAATTTTTTTAGCTTAGAGAAACTACGGAATTTAGAAGTTATGTGAGAGATAATTTTTTTGCTTTGACACAAACAGTTTTTCTTTTTTTCTTCAGTAACGACAAAAAATCTTAGGAAGAATAAAATCTTTAGTGTGTCTGATTAAGCTAATTCATTAAAATTTTGGGCAGTTATAGAACAGCAGAACACTACAGATGGTCCTTTCCTTGCTACTGTAGAAAGAGTCAACAGTTTGTCGTTAATAAATTTTAGAAGGAAAAATTGGGGAAAAAAGTAGAGGCGAAGACCTGTCTCACGGTCCAGACCGGAAACCACTTGACAGCAGTGTAATTAAATTTTCATTAAGCTGAAGGATGAAGTGAGTGATAAAAAAACCAAATTGTAATGATAGAGGAGCTAAAGCAGTTAGGTAAGTAATGCTAGCAAACTTCTCTCTGGAAAAAAGGAACGATTAGTGCAAAAGAATTAAAATTACAGCCGCTGAGGTCTTTATTTGAGGCATCATTTTAGATTTGTAACAATAGGCCTATTTTCAGCAGGCAGATTTTACGTTGGTGGAAATGATGAAAACACGTGAAACAGGATGGAAAAGCAATACCGAAACAAACATCAGTTTTCTTGTACAATCGGGTGTGATGCAAGTGTGTTATATGATTAAGCATTCTTGCAGGTAGTGATGACCAAAAAGCTTATACGAGGGAATGTAAGGAGTATATGCGCCAAGAACGAAATACAGTTTGAAGAATTTTTTACCGCAAAAATTGTATACGTTTTATTGGTTTGCGGATGAATATAAAGTGACGGGATATCTCAAGAAATGTCAAACCTATCCCTCTTCTGGTAATACTGTGTTACTACCTAAAAAGTTACTTTTTAAAAGGTGTATTCGTTTATAGTTGGTTTCTTCAGTTAACTTGTTACTTCTTGCAGTGCTACATACGACAGTGGAATTTGTGCTTATTTTCACCTGGAGTGATAGTAACGCAAGCGAAAACCAGAACAAATAGTTTGGTGAATTGGAAAGTTTTTGGGCAGTGCCATAAGGAAAGTGTTTCTGAGATTTTATTCTTATTAATAATTGGCCAATAGAACAGGTTTTCCATTTTTGAGAATAAATTTTCTATCTTTTTTATAAACACTTTTAACTCATTTTTACACTTGGTGGACTCTTTACTACTGTCAAAACATCCTGTTTTTGTTCTTCTATCGCGGTTAGAAGTATGTGGTTTATACATCTAGTTTTCGTAGTTTCTAGGCCGCTAACCCGATGCAAAAAACTCTGGCTGTCTCAGTATCATGGCTGTTCTTTCAGACGTTATCCTCAATGAAAAGGCTTACCGCAGCTGTTGACCATTTGTAATCAAGCTGCTGCAGTATACGATGAAACTGATGTACAATGATCTGACCTTGAATATGGTATCACTTCTTGGCCATCTTTATCGACAGTTTACAAGGAAATTTTGGCAATTAGGAAACATAAATCTTTTCAAATGGCGAGAAAACCACTGAGAAAAGTCAGATGTCTGTCTCACTAACTGTTAAGACATTGCTCAAGACAGTTATGGCTTTTATAGTAAATCAAACATAAACTAAAATAAGCCTAATTTATAGCCTCTCAGCAAAATTTCAATTCAAAAGACGATTTAAATGTTAAGCTGTGCAATTAGCTAAATCTTACTTTTTTACTTTACGTATAATCTTTCTTAACTTACACCTTGAAAAAGAAACTAAAAACTTTGAAGTTTTAAAAAAATATGAATTTCAAAAAGCTCTCAAGCAAAAAAAATTGTTTTCACATGACCAGCTTTATTGTTTTTTATTTCTGCATTTAACTGTGATAAAAGAACTACAGAATACAGATGCCACTTTTTCAAGAGATATGCGGACTTATATTACAGTTAAAAAACTGTTCACGCAGTGGAGAGAGCAGAGAAGGATTTAGTTAAAGAATAATTACGACTATTTTTTAAGTATAGACTTCTTCACGTTTCAGAAACCAAAAGCAGACACTGAGTACAAGTTAGTTAATGAGATAAAATGCTATTTTAAAGAGGTTAAAGTACCGGCTGTTAAAGAAACGACTTGACAATTGGTACAGACAGAACGGTCTTTGCTGATATACTGCAGATTACTTTATAGAACATTTAGAGAGAGTAAAAAGCTTTAAGACTCTGCTTATTTTTAACGATCAGTTTTTTGATAAAAGGAACTGTCTGCGCATTTAATGCGAAAGCGCCAGTTATTGATAGTTATAATAAGTAGGACAACCTGCATAAGTTCGGCGTAGGCTTTCTTCCAGGATACCGCGTCATTGTTTTTTGGATTTACTGCTTGATATATATTTGCCACCATCTTAGTGGCAATTCTTATCGGTGATTTAGACAAAGATTCAAAATTGTCTATAGGTTCGTTAAGGTTTGGTGGCTCATCCATTACCTTGATGTTCATGGTCTAAAAATTGATTACTGAGGCGCATTCTTTTATATAGTCTAGAACTACTAAGGGTTATATAAAGAATAATAAAATGCAAAAAAAGACAGAAACATCAATTTATTTCCTTTTTCTCTTTAATGTAAACTTAAAGAGCAGTCCAGTATCTAGTTTTTAAGATAACACAAATTAACGACACTTATTTAGTAGGCTTTTTGACCAAAACCATACGCTTGGACTGCTGCTTCTTTTTTGAACTTTTTTGAAATTTTCTCGTTTTGTTTTCCATAAGTCCATCAAATAAGAAGAAATCTTCTTGACTGACGAGTTAATCCATTGATTTATGCTGGAACACAGGTTAATTTCACATATCATTTGTCGGTAAAGAAATCCTTCAGGTGCGGCGATGTAGGGAAATAGAGTGATACTGTTTTAACGAACGGTGATATTTATTTTTTTTTTTTAAGATTCTTGTCTAAAATACATGAAACAGCAAATTTAAAACAAAAGTTTGTTAGCTACAGTATGCTCTATGAGTGGGACCTCTCAAAGAGGCAACGGGAAGGACCATTACAAAGACCACTCAGGTGTATAAATAGCCGGTGGAGCTCAGCATTTTTTATTGTTATTATCAAAATAATTTG